GTGACCCCCCTCCCCTGTCCCTCCTGGTTTTATAGGAGCATTTCTATTTATAGCCGGGGACCAGCGCAGTCCGGAGCGGGGAGGAGCCGGGCAGCCCCCCAAAAAAAGGGAGCAAGTACTGGGAGGGGGGGGCCTCCCTATTTATTTTCTCCGTGTGCAAACTCCACCTGCCCGAGTCGGCGGAGCACGACCTGGCACAGAGCCGGGCTTGGGGGGTCCTGTCCCCCCCCCTCTTCCTCCTCCTCCTTTTCCCCTCCTTTGGCCCCTTCCCACCTCCGTGGCATTATCCAAACTCCAGTGGCCCGTCCCTGCCCCGTAGGTGCCCGTTTTCCCCCCATTTTGATGCCATTCCATGGATTTAAGGTATGTTGTACATACTGCCCAGAGTTGTCTTGCAAGTTAAGGCTTCCCTTTACTATAAGACTATAAATAATAAAAAAAAAAAAAAGCCAAAATTCCACTTAATTTATCTTCCCCTGTGGTCACCGCGTGTTCTTGGAATGAGGGAAGTGGTGCCACCAGAGCCGGACACGGTGTCACCTCCTGCCCCGTGTCCCCAGGGCCCCCAGCACACGGCAGGGTGTCACTTCTGGTTTATTGATGCCAAAAAGCTCTGCCACAGCCCGTGTCCCACCTGGCTCCGGCCGGGACGGCAGCGGGAGGCGCGGCCCGGGGCAGGCTGGGTTTTGGTATTGCTAGCACCCTGAGGACCTCGCTGTGCCGGCCAGGCCACCACGCCACGGGCTGGGCTGGGCTGGGCTGCACACTCCGGGGCTGTGGGACCCCCAGGCAGCAGCGGGACACCCCCCCCTAGTTGGCAGCGGGTGCTGGATCCAGGCTGGGCACGGGATACTGCAGGAAGTGCATCACTGCCCTCGCCACCTTCTCTGGGGCGATGTTGTAGACGGGGTGCGTGGGCTGCTGTGGGAGAGAGAGAGGAATGGAGGAGGTTAGTCATGGAATTCTGGAAGGGTTGGCATGGGAAGGGGCCTTAAGTATCGCGTAGTCCAACCCAGTGTGGGCAGGGACAGTTTCCACCAGACTGGGTTGCTCCAAGCCCTGTCCAACCTGGTCTTGGACACTCCAGGGATGGGGCAGCCACAGCTTCTCTGGACAACCTGTGCCAGGGCCTCCCCACCCTCACAGGGAAGAATTTCTTCCCAATATCCCATCTAAATTCCCCTTTTTTACTTTGGAGCCATTCCCTCTTATCCTGTAACTCCAAGCCCTTGTCCAAAGCCCCTCTCCAGCTCCCTGGGAGCCCCTTTAAGCACTGGAAGCGGTTCTAAATTCTCCCTGGAGCCTTCCCTTCTCCAGGCTGAATCCCAGCTCTCTCTACCTCCATCGGATCCGCGTTTCCCGGCGCCGTGGAGCCCTGGAAGTTCAGCCCTGCCCACCCCAGCAATGTCCAGCACCTACCAGGCAGTTCTCAGGGATACCCAGGACCACCTCGTTGTGGAGGTCTCCGCTTCCGAAGTGCTGGGCAATGGCCAGCCCGCTCAGGCAGTAGCAGGTGTGGTAGAAATCCCGGGATCTGCGTGCAGGGACACATCGGGATGCTGAGGGGGAGCCCGGGGGGGCTGGGCAGCCCCGTGTTCCCCCCGTCACTCACTTTCCTGGCTTATCCAGCAGCCCCCCGGCCGGGCACTGGCAGCACAGGAGGATGTATTCCTGCAGTGCCAGCTGGTCGAACATCCAGTGCGCCATGCTCAGCGCTGTGTCACCTGGGAGGAAACCCGGAGGAGAAACACCAGGAGGAGGTGTCAAATCCCTGGAGATGCCATTCTGGGGAGCACAGGAAGCCCATGGCAACTCACCCCTGGCATGGAGTGCCCGATGGAGCAGGGGCAGGAGCCCGGCTTGCCAAAAGGAGTAGCACCCGTCCACCAGCTTGTTGCAGCGGCCCTGGAATCCGCCCTCGAAGCGCATCTGCCGCCCGGTCACCCAGTGCTGCGGGATGATCGGAGCCAGTGTGGGATCAGGGATCGCCAGTGGGATGGGACACCCCGTGCCCCGGGCAGGGATCACTCACCAGCAGGCTCCGGAGGTTGAGCAGATGCTCCTGCTGGAGGATGACCAGCGCGGCCATGCCGCAGAAGGTGTAGCCGCCGTGCGCCTCCATGCCCGGCACGCCGCCGATCCCGCCCTCCCAGTTCTGGCACCTGTGGGAGCAGGGTCAGGGTGGCACCGGCGCCGGGAATGCCATCCCATGTGCTCCTCCCGTCCCCAAATCTCACCTGGCGATCCACTCGGCCGTCCCGGAGAAGAGTGCGGGTGTCAGGATGTTGGTCAGCGAGGCCACTGAGGCGGCACAGTAGGCACTCCTGCGGGAAAAGGGTGCTCAGGGATGTGGGAAAAGGGCACGCAGGGATGCAGCACCCGCTCCCTGCTGCAGCTCTGGCTCCCCAAAATTACACTGGCTCCTCAAAACAGCACCAGCTGCTGACACCAGCCCCGTGCTACGGCACCCCAAAGTAGCTCATCGCCACGGCACCAGCTCCCCAAAACGATACTGGCTCCCAAAATCATCACCAGCACTGGCTCCCCAAAAGTGCCCCAGCCCCCCAAAACAGCCCTCACCCACCTGACATCCACCTCTCCACCCACGTGCATGAGGAAGGAGCCATCCGGCTGCTTCAAAGAGTACAGGTATTCCAGGAGCTTCTTCCTGCAGGAGCCAGCGGCTGTGAGGGAAGGGGGACACACCCCCCAGTCCCCCCCCAGCTCCCCCGGCCCCCAGACCTGTCGATGATGCCGAAGGCCTCCTCGGTGCCGATGATGCAGAGTGCGTTGACGGCGGCGTAGGTGGGGGCGAGGTGGGGGTGCTGCCCGGGACCCCCTCCAAATCCACCCTGGGGGCTCTGGCAGCGCCTCAGGAATTGGCAGACGCTGCAGGAAAGTGGGCAAGGGGCTCGTTGTTACCTGTGTCGCCCCGGCAGGGCGATATGTCCCCCCCCAGCCCCGTGAACCCCCTCCGAGGCCGGAGCCGGGGGTGTCACCCCCCCATCTCTGCCGTCACGAGGGAGCCTCCGGAAGAATGGGCGGCATTGACGGCGACGGGGAGACAAAGCACTCCTTTGCTCCGGGGACAGCGGGAGGTGGCACCTCCGGAGTCACGCGGGTGGCCCGTGGGGACGCTGGCCATGGCAGGGTGGGGGTCCCCTCCCTGGCTCCCACCACTTACTCAGAGGCCACCGACTCTGGGATGGGCTCATCCAGCAGCTCCAGGCTGTGCAGGATCCAGTAGCAGAGCCAGGGGCGGCTGGCATCCAGACACTGAGGGGACAGAGGGGACAGTCAGGCTGTGGCACTGGACACAGGGTGCTGCTGCACGAGCAGGCAGGAGTGAGGGGACAGGAAAGGGAACCCCCGGAGCATCACTGCATCCCACGAGCACACAGGGAATGCTGTGTCCACTCTGGGGCCGGAAAACCCCCAGTGACGATCCCAGTGACAGCCCCGGGGTGAGGGGTTCGCCCCAGCCAGCGGCTCCAGGGCGGGATATCCGGCATTCCCGGTACCTCATAGGCTTCGGTGAGCTGCCGGAGGCCTCTCTTCAGGTAATGGAAATGCTTCTCCCGCTGCAGGACGTACCTGGGAGACAGGGAGGACAGGGATGAGCAGGCAGGTGGCCTGGAAAAGCAGGGGGGCAATGGCAGGAGAGGCAGGATCCCACCACAGCCGGAGGTGTTGCTTTTTTTTGGGATGGGAATTATTTATGTATATCGGGAACTCTGGGACTCACTGCGAGGAGTGATGGTTTGTCTTGTAGGCATCATAGACCTCCTGCACAATGTCCTCCACCTTGGACTTGGCAGGGAAAGAGGGAATAAAGACTGTGGTGAGCTCTGGGAAGCGGCTCTGCACATCCCAAAATGATCCCCACTGAGCCCCCCAGCTTCTACCCCATCCCAGGGCTTTATATCTGACTCATGGCCCCTTCTCATCCAGTAAAACCAAAGTGGGAGCTGCCAGGAGCTTTGTGCCCCGAATTATGCCAGAGTTCAGCACGATCTGGTGCTGCTTTACAAATCCAGCTGGAGTTTGGTTCATCCTGGGACCCCCATGGAAAACACGCTCCTCCCACTCACGCTGGGATAACCAGGGACTCCAACACCCCCGACCCAGGACCCAGAGTAATCCTCCAGGAAATACTCCAGGATCGGCCTCAGGGTTTGGGAGGGGCAGCCTCCCACCCACATGCATGGCACTGTGTCCTGCCAGGATGGAACTGAGCAGGAATCCCAAGGATTGGGAAACCAGCAGTCACTTTTTACCCCGTCCCGGCACCCAGGGGAGCTGCCAGCGGCTGGATCAGGACAGAGGGCGGGAGGAGGGAGTCTGGCTGCCCCCGCTGCAGGACCTCTCACCCGCCCCGAACTAGTTC